ATAGCTTCATTCCCGCTGTCAACTCAATACAGATTAGCAGAAGTTTGCTAATTTACAAGTACTTTTTCTATTGATGCATCACTCTGGAACTGAAACACATCACATCTCCACAAGGATGCTGTCCAGTGGTAAAAGCCCAAAATAAAAATTTCACACTATCCCCTCAAATTTACACTAAAGGAAAAAAAAAAACAAAAAAACAACAACAACAACAAAAAAACAAACAAAAAACAAAACACAACAACCCAACAAAAAACCTTCAACTCCTTTCCTTCCCCATCTCATTTCAAACTGTCATACAAATGGCGTTGGAAGCACAGAACCCCAACACACCAGCCCCTCCCCATCAAGTACCACTAGGATCCCGCTCCGCCTGCTCCCCTCCAGCCCCCAATAGCGGCTGGAGCTCGCCCGCTCCAATGCTGCCCCCTGCCGGCCAAGCCTCGCCGACGCCCGCGGCAGCCGAAAACGCAGCGCGGTCGCGGCTTAAAGGCGGAGGCATCCTGGGCGCAGAGAACGGAGACAGTGTTCCTCCGCCAGACGGGGAGTGCCCGGACCTTCTGCCACCGGGACAAGTACTGCAACTCTGTTCAAAGCCTTCGCGTACAGGAGAGGCGGGAAATACAGGGAGAGGGGAAGAGCTGATGTGAACTTAGCACTAACATAACTGCAGGTCAGGATGCAAATGAGAACAGGGAATTTCTCGGAGAACAAAAGCTTTCAGATGTAGTCCTAAAATTATTTATAGAACTTCAAAGAGTTAAGTCTGAGGCATCTGGCAAAAAGTGAACGGTGATCCTGGACTAAACTCAGCTTTTTTTTATTTTAAGATAAAAAATGCTGATCTGAACAGCATATACTAGCCAGAAAAAAAAGACCCCAACCTGTTGTTTCACAAACTGGATCCCCACGGAACACAGAACAGCAACTTTACTTACTAAGCACATCAAACAGAAAATAACTAGTGGAAAAGAAGTAAGTAGAGGAAAGAGATGGGAAAAGAGACACTAGCAAATAAAAACAGACTGGGAGAACAACAGCCATTAACATACTGCAAATGAAGCAATTACTCTGTTACAAAAGCATCCTCCCTAACACAAGTGGCTAATTTATTCATTTTCAGGAAAACAGTCACTGCCAGTAGTACCACAATAAAGTATTAAATATGAGGCCCAATTCTCAAAAGCAATGAAACTGGGATGGTTTTATATGATGCTGTCTTTAATTCACTTCTTACTACCCTCAGGAGAAATACTCATCCCAATTTTTTATGGATGCTTTTTGCTGATACGTATCTTTTCCTCATGAGAGGAGCTGAAAAGAAGAAAGTGTTCCTTGCAACTGGCTGAAGAGTTACAGTCCAAGTTTAAGAGACATGCTCCTAATTTATTATATATACTAAACTCTGCAATGCTCCTTCTCCAAAGATGCAGGATTTCTTCTACTCCTTAATGGTTGGTTACTTTATGCTCTTGCACAGGAATGTAGAAAAATACAATCAGAAACCCCAGAACCCCCAGACTGACAGGTCTTCTTCTAAAACTGGCAGCTACAAACGCAGTCAGGCCTGTGGCAGCTGCAGAACAAGTCGTTTGAAGTGAACATAGCTTAGATTGAAACTGCTATGAAGAAGGAAAACAGCAGAGGATTCTTTTTATGGTATAAAGCTTCTCCTCACAAATAGTCACCTTCTACTACGTGGACAGAGAGCAAGCCTCCTCTTTTGGTTAATTAGCAGTTGTTCTTTGCAGAACACCTCAAAGGCCTCACTCGAGCAATGTCACGGCTTGCGCTCAACATGAAACTGTCAGTTCTGGTCTGGCTGCACAGCTATTGCTCACACTGAGCTCGGGAGTGGATCCCTATTACAAAGTAATTGCTAAGCAAGTGTGTAACAAAAGAACAAACTTCTACTGAAAAGATTTGGCAAAGCCACAGCAGTATGGTAGATGAAAACTGGGTCAGTCTGCCAGCACTAAGATAACATGATCATGCCTCACATGACAGCATCTTCTCTACCCATTACCTGTGTTATCAGCGGGTTATCTCTTTTGTTTGGTTGTTTTTTAAAGACCTTACCTGCACATATGACTCCTGCAACTTTCAAAGAAACAAATCAGATCTAACATGGACTACTTAAGAGTGCATCAGAGTTGAGGTCTGTTTCATCTTCTGGTTATGTTCTGTAACATAACTATTCTGCAGCATTCTACTGCCACCAGTGTATAAAAGGGAAAGAGAAAAAGGTATCAAGCTAACATTGAGGGAAGAATAAAACAAAGAGGAAATGAGTCATAAAAGAATGAGGCCAAGAGACTATATCAAATATTAAACCAGTAAGACCTCTGCAAATTATCTTTTAGGAAAAAATGTAACTTGAATGCAATACAGAAAAAAGGGAAAGATTTCAGATTCTACATACATTTTGTCAGGATGAGATCTGCACACTACATAACCAATGTAATACATCAAAATTTGTACTAGTGGCATGCATTTGTGATCTATCAGATACTTCCTGGTAAACGCTTCTTGCAAACCCCTGAAGAGGCACAAGTTCAATTCTGCATGACTTTTTCTTCCCCTCTTTCCAAAGACTCTTAAAACAGAACTAGGCATGAACAAGATTATTCATGACTAATTTGGAAGGATTATTTGATTTTTTAAATGCTTGGATTAGTTCTCTCCCAATGACAGCAAAAACAATAAACCAGGCTGTGCTAGTCCCATCTTTCCCAAATTATTTTACTTTCCCAAAAGGCATTGAATGGTTTTACTAAGACTGAATTCACATTCTTTCATTCTTGGGTTATCTTTATATGAACGTGGAACAATCTGGGAAGTATCTTTTCAAAGGTTCCATAATCTGTGAACTGTTCTGACTTCTTAACACCCTAACAGATACGTGTAATGCTTATAATATTCCTTACATAAAACCAGAGTAATTGCTTTTTGCAGAGCAGGCTCTCCAAAACTGCATTTTTAAAAGCATTAACATTTTTAATAAATTCGCTTCAAGCTATAATTTTTAAATCTGTTGTAGCGAAATAGATCTGTCATACCAAGAGATACTAATCTCTGAATTCTGTTTAAGGAATTTTATCAAGCACTCCACATCACTATCTAGAGGGCTATGCTACAATTTTCCCGCACTTTTCCATGAAGTCCATACTTTCTTCTCTATTAAAAAACACATTATCCATAAACTCTTTCAAAGTGGGAACAAGAAGCTGAGAATCAAAATACTTTTTTTTAAAATTGTATCTCAATATAGTGCAATGAGTAACTTACTGTTTTATACAAGAACACTTAAACTGGTCACATACGTTACAGACATGAGGCAGTATTCCACAAGTGGCTGCTGTGTGCTTCCATTCCTAGGCGTACATGTTCTCAAAGACTGTCTCAAGCTAAAGCAGAACTATTTAGCTATTAAAACCCAGAATGTTCCCATCCCTTCCAATTTCACAGATTTAAGTTGACTGGAATTGCTGTGATAATGTAATACAGCTCTCATTAAATATCAGAGCATTTCACAAGGATAATATTCTGCTCCATGTACGAGTGCCAGTTTCTCAACGCTGCTTCCATGTGTCCAAATTCAGCAGTGTGACAGACACCTAAAAAAAACCTCATATATTGGCACCAAACTAACTCAAAAATAAAAACTGAAAATCCCAACCAGTCACTTCCAGCTTGAGAACAGTAAAGTTAACCAAAACCTATTTCTCCTTCTAATCATCCACAAATTAGAAACCCACACAAATAAGTTTCCATTATGGTTCTTGACTGGCAAAATGTTTGTTACTTGCCAAAAGATTTTTTTCCTTTTCCCTCTAGAACAACCAAAAAAAAAAAAAACCCAACAAAAAAAAACAACAACCAAACTTAGTGTCACTCAATACTGTTCTTGACTGACGAAAAACAAACAAACAAACAAAAAAAAACCAAAACCAGTGTCACTAAATACTGTTCTAAAATAAGGAGTCACAAAATCAGCTTAAGATATATATACTGTTAGTCCTAACACACACTATATGGATAAAAATACAGTATGAAAATAAAATATGAGATAAATACAATAATATAATTGTGTGGAATAGCAATACTACTACTAAATTTCATATAATACTACATAATTTCATATAATTATGAAATATTATACTAAACCATGTGTAAACTGCTACCCACTAACTTATTCTTTGATTTCAGCAACAGTAAACAACAAGGCAGACAATGATCTGCATAAATCTATGGGTTGAAAAATATTTCAGCCCTGGTACATCAGACTATTTCAAACCTTTTTTTTTTGTTTTCCTCCTCTTAGAAGACTGTATCATGGAACATAAAAGATGCAACAGAAATGGAAGTGCAATGATAAATAAACTCTAAAGAACAAGCACATCTTCCTTTACATGTTCCCAATAGGTGGCAACAGAATACCAAAAATACAAAGTAGTTTATAATTCTTTCTTCATCCAAAGTAACGGAAGCCCTGTTACAACTATTAATGAACTTGCACCAACAGTTTTATTCAAAGGTATCACTGCATCTCAGCAACAGAAACTGTCAGGACAGGTAATGCCAAAAGCCAGAGGATTCACAGAACAGAAACAAAGCATTTATTAAAGAGCTAGTTGTTATGGAACAACTGACGGCTTATACTCAGAGCTTATCTATTACAAATTTACAGTAACAAAACATTTTTGCACATTAAAGAAGGAATTATAAGGAAAAAAGATGGACTAATTTTTGTTGTTGTTGACATCTGCACCTTGGTCCTTAGCAGTATTTCTTTACAAGTCTAAATAAAGGGATGAACACTTTTAAACAAAGTTCTAGCTGACAAACCCCAGCATCATCATAGTAGCAGGTCCCTACTAATTCCCCAATTCTTTGCAAGAAATGTCAGCAAATCAGAGTTCTCTCCTTGACAGCTATACCACTATTCTGTTTCTGTGGCACAGAGCTATACAAATCAAGTCTAAAGAGTGACTACTTACTTGCTTTCAAATCCGGCTATGTCACGATCCAAAGAAATTGTCTCTCTTGTAATTTCCACCTTTCTCACACTGCCAAAGAAGTCTGTTATCAGAACATTTTGAGAGTCTCGCCGAAAGAGATCAGTTCGGTGCCCAGGTGTGGAAACGCACAAGCTTTTTGGACAGACCTGAAACTGGAAACCAAGATGGACAATCATATCCTGTTCCTCATTCATCACTAGTCTCCACATACACTTTCCAAAATTAAATCACTGAAAAAAATATATAAATAATACACAAACTCACATTAATTTCAGTACAAGCTCCACAGCTAAAAAAATGATTGAACAAAAACATTTAAAGGCATATACATTTTGATTGTGCATTTCAGAAAACCTTTATCCTCACGATTATGCTGTTTGAGTTAAGAAATGCTTCTGAGAAAGTCAACCATCAATTACATCTAACTGATTAAATGCACAAATTACTTTTAATACAGATGCAGCAGTGCTGCTATAACCTTCCAAAAAGCACAAACAGGTATAAATTCTTCATATTTACCAGAGGCATCCAAGAGTAAACAAGCTTTGAGAAGTAAGTAACAGTACAGGTTTTTGTAAAAAAAAAGCAAGAATTTACATTTTGATCAAAAAGTCTCAGTCTTATTTCTAGTTTATAGGCTGAAAATTAATGCAGAATTAGGATCTTCAAATATCAAAGGTGTTCTATGTACATGAAGTTCACAGAGTCATCCTGTAAAACCTACAATTTACCTAAATACTTTATTATTTCTTTTACCCATCTATTTTGTCTATATATCAGATCCCCGGTATCTAACACACATTACAACACATGGAAGACAGAAACAGCACAAATAAACTGTTTTTAATGGACTCAATTCTGTATAAAGGTACATTTGAAGTAAATAAGAAGGCGGAACAGTGACAGATTTGTTGTGGCATTTTGATATCCAAGAAGACAGCATGCCTATTAAATAATAAGATTGTAATGTACACAGCAGATAGTCAAGACAACACCAAGGCATTTTGGACACAATACCACACTTGTCATGAATGTCTCCAATATTTCCCATCTGGAGAGATTCTTATTTCAAGGGACCCTGTAATGCACATAACATAATATAATAAATAATACCTGGTTCATATTTTTATTAATAATGCTACCTAGCTTACAGTGCCATGAAATGCAGCCCAAGGCCTCACTGTCTGACCTCCCTGATGAGCTTGGAAAGTTGAGTTCATGTCTCAGTCATTAGAATGCACTTCACAGTGAAATTCACAACTCTACTAGACACAGGAGCTAGACACAACCCTGTTAGATAGAGGCACTAGCTCTACAGTGCTCTGGACAGTTTCATGAGCAAATGTTGCTGTCCAATCAACAACAGCCCGCAGACCACCTGGTAACAGTGTAGGTTATGTGAGCCTTCACGCATTCCAGCAACACAGAACATTCAACATAACAGATTCATGCACAGGACTATAAAGGACACTCTCCACATGACTGCTCATCTTCCTTAATATTAAATTCTCCGGGCGATTTTCAAACCAGGTCCATCAGTCACTGGGTCTAGAGTTCATACACCTAATCACAGATCACCTCTTAAAACATTGCATTCTTAGGACAAAATCACACATCCTAATTAATTCAGCGCAGATGCAACCTCAGTTACCCTGGATTGTGTCTGACAAAGCCTGTGAGTTTCAGCCCATACCTCCTAGCAGAAATTCTGCGCTCAGCCTGACACAAAAAACATGGGCTTGTATGGCTCCTCCTCTTAGGACAACAGTGCCCTACATTTAAAAAGCTTCCCAGAGAGGAAACAATGTACCTGGCATTTCTTCACAGAGGACAGATTCCATCTTCCCATTCCCCCTTTCTGCTCCATTACAGTTTCTCTTCCACACCTTGTATTTTTTGTCTAAGCCTCTAAATATACAGCATTAGGCTGCTGCCTAATGCCCAGAGAGACTTCAGCTCACTTTCAACCTTTACCTTAAGAGAAGCACACAAGCACGCATATCCACCAAGCTGGTTTTTAATGATTCCAAACTTTCCTATTGGCAGAGTACCACACAGCTGCTGACGAAAAGATAGGGGCAGAGCAGATCTTTTTATTACCCTCCCTGTGAAGTGAAAATGAAGTAGACTCATCACGTTCCCATACAAAGCCACCTGTCAATGCACACAAACCCTCTTAAGCTTCAGGTTCAAGAAAACGCCATCAATTTTCTTCAGCTCTGCTGCAACTAAGGGCACAAACATAAAAACTAAGTCTCTGAAGTAAGCTATAAAAGGTAAGTACTTGTTTTAATCCCATTACTTGATGCATAAATCTATGCTGCAGTTATATAATTAGTCTCTCTACCAAGCTCCAGAGAGTGTAAATCTCCCAAAACAACTGCATCAGCACTGAAACTGGGAAACCGATACTCCACACAACTATTTCTAACCTGTCAATTTGCTACTATTAGATGTTGAGATGAATCAAACAAAAATAGGCAATGGCACTGAGACGACAACTTCAGTATGAAAAAAATCTACCTATCCAGTACTAGTGTGAAAAAAGAAGGACTGCAAAGCAATTAGACCAGAGCAGAGTAACACTAATAACTAAGGTCTTCTGACAAAAGAAAAAGCGAACACTGGCTAAAGAAAACACATTTGTTCATGTATCCATTTTCATAAATTTTTTAAAATAAGATACTAGTCAAGTAAAGCTAAACAATTCCCAAAAATGGGAACTTTGTTATCTTTTCTTAACAACATTTTTAGTTATTTTATGACAAATGATAGCTCATTTAGAAATGTATTTGAGACTTATTTTAAAACTTCAAATGTGTGACATTTTAATTTAGTCTTTATTTTTTTGAATTGTGATCAAACTCAGTCAGTCAATTGCACAGCTTTATGTTATCCCTTAGCAACACAGACGGAGCAGGTGGGGAGTAGGTGGAGTGGATCATGAAAAAGATGCCTCATTCTTTGCAGGAATGCAATATCCAGACCTTAGGTGGATGTGAAGAAGCTGTTTTAAGAGTGGCTGGAGAAAAGTACAGAGATGATGGAATAGAAGCAGTGTAGCAAATACACAGCTCTTCCAAAAGAGCAGACATTTGACATATCAGAAGATCGAACAACTGAACATTAGGTGATGATTTTAAAGCTGGTTAATGAGCCACTTAAAATGTTGTCCTGAGTTTGGAAAGCATTAACAAAAAAAAAAAAAAAAAAAAGAGAGACTGGGATAAAAAGTAGGTCTTTGTTCTTAAACCAGCACAACTGTAACAAAGCATTCTAGTTCTAAAGTACACCTATAACTGTTGGCAAATAATGGGTTTATATCCTTACCATGGACTAACCATATGCCATTTCGGAACTCTTAGATAAAGCCCTGAAAAGCACCAACTTGAAATAAAGTGGTCACATTTGCTGAAATACATATTATGAGTCATTGCATGTTCATCAAAAATCATTATATATTTCAGTCCATTTTCTTCCCTTCCCAGACCAACAATAAGCACATCAGCATATGATGACTTTGATGATGTAAGAAATTTACCAGTATGGGTTAACTTCCCACAGCTCTTCCTGAGAATTTCACATATAAGAAAAAACACAAGTGAGAATGTTTAAACATCTTCTCCAAAGAGCTGAAAAGGTAAACTACTTGGCCAGCTATCAAGTTTTCTACACTTTCCACAACAACTGGATTAGTATCTAGCTAGCTAGAGTAGTTATACCACTTACCAGATGGTCTCTTACACAGTAGAAACCACTGTTCATTTGTTATGACTTTTTTTAAACAGCAATTAATTTTCTGGTTTACAGAATAGTTCTAAAGTGCTGCTTGAATAAATTGGCTAGAAAAAGATAGAATCAATAAAGGACTTGCATATTCTTGTTTAACAAGATTTATTTTAAAATCATCTGTATCCCATGGTCAGAAGGTATTAAATTACAGGACAGAAATTTCAATCCCATGGTAGTAAAAGAACCTTGAATCTTAGTCACTGAATCAATTCTGTAACAACATAAAATCTGTCATGTGTGGGCTGTTTACAGTGAATTCTACTACACATCTAGCAGCCAGGCTAACACCATCCTCTGTAGACAGAGGGTGGCATAAAACTTTCAAGCAGCTGCTCCTTTTACAGAAATGAATTAAAGACAATGTGTTCTGTAAGTAGCAGCTCTTGGATCACTGACACAGTATGTCAGGATTTACAGCTACAAGGCACCAAAGCATAATGTATTACTTTAGTGAAGTTACAAATAAATAAATAAATAAAATACACTTACATTTTATATCATCTCACATCTAACTTACACAGGCATTGTCATAAATTTTGCCATAGGTTACCTGCTTGGCTGGGTTTTTTTTTCCTCCTCCCTCATACCCCAAAAGCTGTAATTAATATTTATCTAAGATATAATTAACTCCAAACACTGATGTATTTTGATGTATCTTGCTCTGGAATCTAAGCGGATATACAGAGCAATTAGTCTCTGCAGGCATTTGTGAGTGCACCATTAGAATTTTAAATGCTTAATCTCTCTGCAAAACAATCAGTGTCTGCTTTTCCATATCTATAAAGTGTCTACTACCCATTAAGCTGATTTTAGAAGCTTCCTACTATCATTTTTCATGAGCAAATGTTTCATCCTATCAAAATGAATATTGAATAATATATTAATTTTCCAATGAACAGTAAAAAAAATCTGGCTAATTTTGGTTAATCTCTTTCCATAGCCAGCAAGCCACTTTCACACTGAGGACAATCAAGTGTTACACCATCACTACATTTAATAATGGCAAAAAGACCCTCTCCCCAAAACTGCTTCCAAGAGAAAAGGCAGAAGAACAAAAAGCATTTGGAGAACCCTACAGACAACAGTTTTGAAACTGTTACAATCATTAGCATGTTCATGAATGTTCAATATTCTACTTACTAGGTCATTCATATTTGTCTGACTGGCTGGATGAATTTCTTCCAAGAACTCTAGCACATAGAATGTGTATCTGTCCATGAGATGAACACCAATCGCAAGATCAGGCTGATGCTTAAAAACAACACACAGCAGTTATTGGGCATTTGCAGGAAAGAATTCAGTATTTAGAGAGCAAATAGAATGTAACAGCATGTCACAAAAGTTAAGCATAACAATTTTTTGTTCTTAGGCAAATTACACAAAGAAAATGACCACCCATAAAGAAACATATTGTTGACAAGCTGAATAATACAGTTTATCTTCATTTTTCTACACTGTATCCTGGTAATCTCCACATTTGCGAAAAAGCAGGGAACCCCTTTTTCTTGATGGTTCAGTAAAGGTTTGTGGGCTGCCCTGAGCTTCTCAGAACTCGGAAAACAGGGCTGGGAGAGACAGCTTATCTTACAGATCTGCACAGGTTCAGAGCTAGGCTCTGCACAGATTCAGGTCTGCATAGGTTCAAACCCTGACTTGATGGTTTTGGTCCAGCTAGGATCTCTCTCATATCACTCTGTCTGTAATTCAGCTGGGATGTAACTACAGCAGGTGAAAGGTAGTGGTCTGGGGTTTTCCTGTATATAGAACAGTTTGGGTTGGAAGGGACCTTCAAAGGTCATCCAGTCCAACATCCCGGCAATGAGCAGGGACAGCTTTATCTAGATCAGGTTGCCCAGAACCACATCCAGCCCGGCCTTGAATATCTCCAGGAACTGCACATCCACCACCTCTCTGGGCAGCCTGTGACAGTGTTTTACCACCCTCACTGTAAAAATTCTTTTCCTCACATCCAGCCTGAATCTCCCCTCTTAGTTTAAAACCATTACCCCTTGTCCCGTCACAACAGGCCCTGCTAAAGTCTCTCCAGCATCTTATTGGCCCCTCTTAAGCACTGAAAGGCTGCAAAAAGGTCTCCCCGGAGTCTTCTCCAGGCTGAAAAGCCACATTTCACTCAACCATTCCTCATAGGTGAAGTGCTCCATGCCTCTGATCTTTTTGTTTCCCTTCTCTGGACCCTCTCTAATAGGTTCATCAAGTGTAAGAAGTCCTAGATTGAATATTCCCCACACATATCTTCCAGCAATCTTCCCATAAAATTTCTTCTTATCCTAGGCTATGCATAAATGGGCCAGCAAGCACAGAAATCCATTAGTCCGGTTCTTTGGGATGGCACATAAAAAAAGGCAGAAAAAGTGCAATTACAAGTTTTGTCAAAACCTCACTTTGTAACTAAATACCTTACACATTCAGCAATTAGAAGGGAAATTTTTAGTTCAAAAACAATAGGACCTGTGCTTTTTACTCAGGCATTTTGAAATCTGTCTTCAGGATCACAAAAATCTACTTACTGATAAAGAATCTTCTCCTACTTGGCTGCTAGCCAAGGCCATTATATTAGGTGAATAAAATCGTTCATACATGGATGCTCCTTGGCAAGTATCAATAATAAACAACAATTCATTGTACCTGAAAAAAAAAATAAAACAGCCTCTTTATCCATCTCTCCTTAAGCAACATTCACATACTTTGCTTTTTAGTTACCAGGACAGCTGCTAGGAACCCAAGGAACAGAAGAGTTTATACTGATTCATTAAGATGCAAGTTCAGTCAAAGCACAGTACATTTGAGCAGCTGTAACTGCAGGAAGCTGCAAACAAAAATTAAAACTCTTCTTTCTGAATGTAAACTTTCATGCAATTTTATGGACAACAGACAGTATCACTGCCAAAGGTAAGCAAGGCCTACTGGTTAAGACTTCAGGCATGTTCAGGAAACACAATATTTAACCTCTAAATAATGCTTTTTTCCTCACCTTCTTTTCTGCCACATTTGTTCAAAGGCATCAGCCAGTTCTACATTTGTGATTTCTTCAGAATCCTGAAATTTTAGGAAACCATTTCCACCATGGCCTGGCAGAAAAAAAAAAAAAAGCAGAAGTTATGCAAGATGGTAGCTGAGAGGAAGTCCAGCTGACCATTCCTCTAAAAAAAATAAAAAAGGCAAACACAATTTTCCTTCTCCAAACAGACTCCAGCAAAAGAAAGTTATTAGTACAGTGAGAACAGTATACATACATTATTTAAGATAGAAACTATACTTACTGCCATATAGGCTTCTTCTTACTTAGTATTACATGCTAAAAAAAGGAAAAAAAAAAAATCCTTTTGTCAATCCTTTTGTTTGTTTGGACTCCTAATGGGATTTCTTGCTTTCAACAGGCCCATCCAAGGGAACAATATCAATAAATTGTATACAGAAACCTGTAATTACCTGTCATATATATTAGAATATTGCTTCTATCATCAGAAAGAAGACGTTTAGATCGTGGTGTGCTTGGTGGGATTCTTCCTGTTAATACACGCAAAAAATTTTCGACAGTAACCTAGGAATAGAAGCACAAACTAATTTTCTAAAGAGAAAAATATCAATTAACAACTATAGCCTGGGTTACATTAAGTAATGGAACACTAAAAGAGGCAGTGTATATACCCAAAAGTATTACTTCATGGTATAAACTGTATAAACAAACATTTTCTGTTTAAGGTTTTACTGCAGTTTCATAATCATATGGTACCTTTTACTTTATTCCACTAACATCGCCTGTTGCTTTGTTACACCAAATAAGGCTAATGCCATTATAATTTCTTAATACATTTTCATTCATCTGAAATGCCGTCAGTGTATAGCTTTATTTTGTCAAAGCTGTTCATGTACTCAAAACATGCTCCAACATTAGCGTGTGTTACCATGGAAAAATAAACTTAAATTCCCTCTGCAACACAGAAAAGGTAAAATAAGATTAATTTCAGCTACATAAGTCTGAGAGCTCAGGTAAGACCCATCTGGATGGCGACTGTAAAACATTCTGTAAAACACCACTTCCTCTTCATGCAGACGTACACAGCTCAAACGCTAGCAAAAAATCCATACTCAGGAAAAAACACAATGAAAAGAACATACCTCTATTTCGGTGTTGTATCTTCACTTCTTTATACAAAGCTTCAGAGAAATAAAACATCTACTACATACTTAACTCTCCCCCATAAACCGTTAGTAATGATTATACAGCACTATTAAACCATGCAATTGATGTCCAAATTAAGATTAACTGTAAAGACACTGTTTGAAGGAATATTACACAAATGAAAAGATGGTAGAATGCAGATTTCTTTACAGTAATTACTTTACAGTAATGTATAAACTATGGCTTTTGTGTATTTTGATAAAAACATATGCTTAACATTAGAAATGTAAGTAGATATGCCAAGTAAACATTTCACTTGCACACCAGAAATTTCACAGCGGTGGAGTTTGCAAGATGAGACACTGAACAACCATTTCCAAAGAGAAATGTAATACTTGGATTCCTAACACATACAAGGGGTTCCATATATTCATTTAATTGTGGGAATTTCATTACCTGAATTATAACATGATTCTAGTATAACAAACTTCAAATAAAATAAAACAAGTATCAAGGAGGGGAGGGGTGTGGTGTTTAAACCTATCAGTTGATAATAAAAGCCTAGCCCAAAACCAGAAATGTGACTAGAAAGACTTCCTCAGACTTCACAGGTGATGTATAAATCTTTAAACCAACACTAAAACCAAAGACCCAGTGATTTAATTTAAGAGAAATCACCTCATAGCTTCTGTAATCCACTTCCACATCATCTCCATAGACATTTAGCTCCATGTTTTTATGACTAAACACAGTAGCTGGTTTGGGATTTCTGGGATTACATGCCATGTCATCTGCCAGCATCAGGACAATGTGACTATGGAAAACAAGACAAAAATATTTCAGACATTCTACTTCCATATAACATTCAAACAGAAATTACAATAAAACTGTCCCACAATTACAACAATGGCTTATAAAACTAAGAAGATTCCTGGGATTATAGGTGAAACTTTGCTTACTTACACCCTATTTCCTTATGTACACCCTCACTATTATGAGGATACCACACACAGAAATGCAGCTACCTCTTATACAGCTATAGGATTAAGTTAGGCCAAAGATGAACACAAGAGCAGTTGGTATTAGACTGGCAGAACTATTCATAAAAAAATGTGATTTTTATGGGGCACTAAATCAGAAGAAATCCAAGCCTGTTTGCACCTTTTAAGATCATTTAAAAATATTATGACAATTTTTAATTTGAGGAGCTCATGAACATTTCTCAAACCATTATACTGCATCTGATGCACTACTGTATGACTATCTGTGTTACTGGAATTTTGCTGAAGAACACAAATGGGCTGACACCAGACATTTTTTCTTCTTCATAGTTCAAAGAAGAAATAAAGAAACCAAAAATAAAAAATAAAACCCCAACAACCCAACATTTCGTATTACCAATTAAAAAAAAAAACAAACAATCAGCATATTATAAAACTGTTCCAACTTGCATGCAGCCAAAGACCTCTATTACCCATAGCAGGGCAAGGTTTGGGTCAAAATATGAAACAAGAGGTCACTGGAGGCTGTTAGCACTGGAAGAATGTGCCAGAGATGTCTGGAACAAAGTGAAGTTGGTTCTTTCCTTGGATAACCCTGTCTTGGATATAGCTTCTCATGGACTGTGCTCTCCCAAACAATGCTTACAAAAGGAAAGCTCTGTATCCTGCAAAGAATACTGCTAATTCAGACTCTCAAGCACACAGCTATAAATTAAACTGTGGTGTGCTATTTAAGCATCATTCCTGTGCTTGTCATCATTCACCTATATGCCTGCATGAGCACTTTATATAAAGTTATTCGTTATTAAGTGCTAATAGGCTCCACACCCCACCAAAAAAGGAAGGGGAGAGGGGTGGGAGAAAAAGAGAAATGCTGTCCAAAATAACATAAGCATAAATCCTCAGAAATAATCACAGTAAATTATTTCAATGGGAATAAAATGTTGGCATAAATATGAAGGTGTAATGATAGAAGTGAGAGGAGAGCTACAGAAGAGAAATAAAGAGATTTTTTTTTCTCCACACATGCACAGCAGTACAAATCTATTTTTATAAAAGAGAACTATATGGAGAATATATGCCTTGCAGATTTACTGAGATAGTCAGTGTACATCCATTTTTTGTATTAGTCAGAAGAGAATATTCCACACTAAGACATCACTAGGCCTACAGTTTAGCCCTGTATTTTTGCTAGGAATGTGTTTATTCAAAAAGAGGAATTAGTAATCACATGCACTCAGGAAAAGGTTCTGATCTGTAGTAGTACAGACAGGTGAGCACAAACATGCAGAGTTTGTATATTGCACGGCATTCGTATACATGCATATGGAATACACGACAGTTAAACAGAACCACTGCATACAAGTGGTTCATAGATGCAGCAAAACAATCTAGATGTTAACTCGTAGCTTAACAGTTAAGCCAAAGTAACCTAATTATATACTATAGTAATATTTTCATGATACACGACTTATATTGCATAATGATTCCAGGAATCAGAAACAGTTTTTGAATTCATTTTTTCTTTACTTTAGCAAAACTTTTCTTTTGCAAATTAGAGCATTGTGTCCACATGTCAACAAACCAGAGCACTTTACAGTTATAAACCACAAATCATTCTCCTAATGAGTTCTGTTGTTGGAGGATAAACCTACTTACATTGCCAAACTGACATGGTTCCATTCAAAATGAGGCTATGCACAAACCCCTCCAAAGAACCCAACCCCCAAAACCATGATAAATGAAAAGAAAAACAGACAGAGGAAGAAGTTTGTCTAAGGGAGAAATCCACACAAACCCATGTCAAAACTGCTGTAAATGGGGGAAAAAACAGGCATGCTCTCTCTTTAGGTCTTCTCCAATGTGTTATTTCTTGACCTTAGTCTACAGCATTGCTGTTTTTTTGAGATCAATTTCAAGATCCTTGGGTAAGGCTAAGAAACAGATTAGGCTACTGAACAACAGAAGTCTTTAGATATGCTTTAGGTTTTGCAGTATTTCTAAAACTGACACTTATTTTGACATTCATGGTCAAGCTGGATGGATTCAGAGAACATGAAAGTTCTCAGGTAAGGGCAAAACTAGTGAAAGAATTCCTAAGGTAGTATACCTAGGGTACCTACTCTTCCAAGGCTATAAAGGAAAGAAGACAGATGCTTCCGAATACAACCTGCAAAAAAAGAAAAAAGCCGTATTTCTGTGGCTTTCAGCCCACAGTGCTTCAGCAGTATGTTGCCTTGGATTTACAGCTCCCAAACATTTCCAAAAGCTAGATTTCAACATCCCCTCTTTCAAAAACCAAGAACTCACTTCTTCTTTTTAAAAAATAAACACAGGGAACAGGATGATACTGCATCACAGTCACAGTTGAGTGGAAACTAGCTTGGGACTCCAGGTACCACAGTTTGGATGTTGACAAAAAAATGCCATACAAATTCAATCCAGTAAAACATATATTTTGCAATGATTAAGCTGTTCATACTTCTTTACGCAGACATCCTGAAGAAAGTACCAGTGCCCTAAACAAACATGAAAAATCAGAACCACTAGGATTTCCACAGAAGCCTACGGATATAGCCTATTATGTTGGTGCACAATTCTGGTATAAGTAAATTGCATTCCAAAACAGTTGATGGAACTGTGCCAACTTCCATTCAGAACACAACTCAGACACTTCAGAACAGTTTGTTCACCTTCCTCATCCTATTGTCAAAGAAGGGATACTATTTTGACTATTGTGTTATCACTAAGAAGCACAACTGGTATGGACAAAGCTTCTGGTTTCTCTAAAAACATAACATAAAATGGATTTTTCAAGGCTACTTTTAATGTAGCAGCAGCTTTGTTCAGGCTTTTAGAGACTCTCAATGTAGCTGCAGATGTGGAAGTCTTACACTTCAGTTCAGTTACGGTTACTAACATCTCCACACTGAAAGTACATCAAAAGCTGTATCTCAGAGTAGTCACCGCTGATGCATTTATAAATTTTCACATTATGCTTTCACAAGTTTTCCAAGTGGCATATTTTAGTGGCCAGATAGCTCCTCGTAATTTTAACCTAATTAACCTATTCCAACTGGCATATTTTTTGAACAGTATCGCCACACTTTTCAATACACTGATGTAATCACATCCCTCCTTCTTACTTTTAGCCAGTTAAACTGGGAAGAGAAATGTATTTTTAAACTGCTTCAGACAATAAGGTGCCTTTTAGTAGTACATTTGCAAGGAACGGTATTAATCAATATTCCCTCACCTATCGGGAATGCCCAATCTCTTGACACTTCTGTATACTGAGAGAGTATTTGCCACATGACGGTAATTGAACCAGAATCGAGATGTACACACCTTGGGAAAAGAAGGAAAAAAAAAATCATACTAAATACTGTAAAAGATAAAAATAGCCTGGCACACTGCATCAGAAGACTGTGATTACAGAAATATCAACAAACTAGTAACAAATCAGAAAGAACACAGCAACACCAAAAACCTCATGATATAAGCTATAGAAGTCTTTGTTGTACCAAAGTTGCAAATGCTGAAAATAAAATCTTAAAAAAAAATCAGTTCTTAACACACTGACTCATGAAAAAATTGGCATAAAACCCAACGAAGTATAAAAACTGGCACTTCAGGGAATAATTCAGCAATAATAAGTGGATAAGCTAAATTTTCTTCATTTGCTTTCTCTGTATCAAAGAGAAATCAAAGGAAGAGTTCTCATCTCAATAACAAACCCATTCTGGGATCATTCTTGCACAAACGCATAAGTGAATTCATGCAGAAGCCATACACAGGGGAAAATACACTGAGGACATTTGTATTTAAGGAGTCAAATATAATAAAGAGCTAAGTGAGCTCTAACCAAACTCTGAATACAAATTCTCAAAAATTTCAAAGGAGTTCAGTTTTCCCTGTTCTAACAGGCAAAGTGCTGGGGATCAGCCATTCCTGCACTTAAATCAATCCCTAGGTCAGGTATTATTTAATCTGTCCTCAAAGGCCTTAAACCAATGAGATTTCAAAAAGCTTCAGAGGCAATCTGATGTAGTTCCTTACTAAAGCCTTATCATTGTACTTGTGCTTAACTTTTATTCACTTTTTGTTTGTTCCACACCAAGGACTGAAATCCTGCTCCAGAGACAAATTTCTTTCACTTTTACAAGTCTTTCAAACACAGAAAGAAGCATGTTAGAAGAGGTAACTTTAAAAACACAAAAACAGAGAAGCAGTAACAAGCATTTAAACAGGTCTTTTAATTTTTCAGCTTTAAATATAAAGCTCTAATTTAATCATAGATTTATTGAATGACCTGGGTTGGAACAGACCTTAAGGATCACCTAGTTCCAACCCGCTGCCATGGGCAGGGACACCTTCCACTAGACCAGGTTGCTCGAAGGCCCATCCAACCTGGCCTTGAACAGAAAACACAGATAAAATGTATGTTTCTTAAATAGAAACATCTGTAAGTTACACTATGTAACATTTCTGTCTCTAGCCTTTTCATAAAAAGAAATGAGTAGTAGCTTGAATAATAATAAAAATTCAGCCTAAAAGGATCCCTTTGTGTCTCAATCATGCTGTCAGTCAGGAAAAAAAGCCCATGGGATTCAGCCCATGAGAATACTTGCCTTTCAGCAAGATTTAAAGCTCTGAAAACTAACTGCGGCCTACTTAGCTATGACGTTTCAAGGTATTAGCACCTGCCCCTTTTCCTCTGTTACCTCTCTTACAATACAGTGGAAAACGTTCCTATGCTTTAAATATAGCTCTTCACACTGTGGCATATTAATTCCAACTACTGATGAAGGACTGCAATACAATGCCAGGCCTGATAGCTGTAAAACCCTCCCTCTTTTACTGCTTCAAAAAGCAGCAGCAATTGTTACAAAGCTTACCTATGAACTACTGAAAAGATATAACCACCAGAGAATCTGTTGAGAAGAGAAAATATAACACCTTGGACCTAATTTTCCACCTTCTTTGTGTGTTTTTATGGAGCATAAAAGCACCTACTTGTTAAGAGTATTAGAGTAGTAATTGATATTTTAATAGTTTTGAGTTTGTTCATTGTAGAATATAGAAATTATTCCTTCTAATTTAATTAATTACTGTTAACTTTTCTTTTATATTGCTCAGTTTTAGTATCTGGAAAACAAACAGCTGCTACTGAGTAATTACAATCATGTTCTGAAACAAATTAGTCATTAAGACCCAAATTGTGATTAAGAACCAATTGTGAAGCATGATCCAAAGCTAATAATAGCTTCATGGCAAAGAAAAAAAAAAAGGCATAAGAACAGTTGATCTAAACATCATGCTGCCTGAATTTATTTTATTCTAAGCCTGTTACCACAAGTCAACAGGTTAAGTATGAACAAGAAGCAGAAATCAAGTGTGCCTTTCTGGTCTAAGAGATACAATCCTCTGATACCAGAATTACACTTCTGTTCAATAAGCACTATGGTAATTTAACTGTTTTAATGCTGTCAGAGCTTTTGTTTTACAAATCCTGCCACGTAGCTGCACATTCTGAGTACCTGAAATGTAGTCATACTGAAAAGATAATTTTATTACAGTGTAATAAATTTGCATGCACAATTTCAAATTTATTCATTCCCAAGTCTTTATCTTTCCATTTCTTTCAAATGAACAGAATTCCTGAGTGACTGTTGCTACTATGGTTCCTGGTGAAAAGTTGTTAACTTTATTGGAAGAAAAATACCTGGGCCATACTTACCAAAACTGCCCAGTTATTTGTATGTCCACTTCTAAAGAACTGTTCTGCTTGATCCTGAAAGATGGAGACATTAGATGTTTTTCAGTAATAAGAAATGACTACTCATTTTTATTCTTTCCACAAGACAGTGTTCAATGCGTATGTTTACCATACTGAAACTCTGAATAAATCTTACAAAAGCTTCAAGAGGTAGTTTGTCTTTTTCTGGTTTTCCTATTTCATGCAAGTTAATTGCTTCAAATCTTTCCCTGAAACTTGTAAAATAACAAAGGAGAAAGAACTATTAGTCACTTGCAGCTTAGTTAAAACAAAAGCCCACACATCTCTATTCCAAAGGACACTGAGAACAAAATAAAATGATTTATTGACCTACAGTTTCTCCCTTAATGAGAAGAGAGGCTTGCATTAATTTCTATTTTCCTTGTCCATATCATCTTTTCAAAAGCAGCTGAGTGAATCTGCAATTTTAACCCATTTTAAATCCAAGGTGGTTACATTTATCTTCCAAAATCAGGATCTATGATAACAGCCTTCTTATAGTCTGTGATCTCCATAGCTCCCACTGGGCTTTGCAAAGAGGGGCCGTTTTCTTTAACAGATTGCATATGTCAGGACACAGAAAAGGGATAAAGACTTTGCAGAGGTAAAGGAGTAAGTCTGTCACTGGACAAGAATCAAGACTTGCTGATTCTTAATCAGATTCTGATAAATCTCTGAGGGGTACTGGGCTGATGCCTGTGGTTTCTCACAAAACACACAGCAACAGAAAAAGCATTTGTTAGAATAAATGTAAAGCATACTGTATTCCAAGTAGCAAACTGGCAGCTTGATTATAAAGACATATTTTATTTGGCTATTTTTTGTCCTGTTCGTAATTAATTTCAAGTATGACAATCTGTAATAAAGCAGAATTCAAATGCAAACAACACTCCAGGTGTAGTGTAGGCACCGTGCAAAAACATAATTACTGAAATACAAAACTACTCCCACCTGAAATAAACAATCCTAGCTCCCATCGCTATGGGTAAATGCCGTCTCCAACCTGCGGGAGGGGGTCAGGGTAATCAATCGAGCCCAGGTGAGGCCAGGTAGCTAGACGGCCCAAACACCCCACCCTGGTCTTTAACCGATGAAATTCCATTCACACATAACTTAAGCCACAAAAGTCCGGAAAAGTAACCTAAAACCCCGACTACTGAAACTTACACTGTGTAGCCAAAGATAAGCTCAGATTCAGAAACTTACAAACACGTTCAAAGACTGTTCGCTTAACTTTGAACAGTTTACAAGAGTTACACGTGCCCGCTAAGCCCACCGCTCCAGGGATGCCCTGCACTACAGTCCACGCGGTTCTACCGCCGAACACCGGGGCAGGGGAGAGCGGAGCGGAGCGGGGAGAGGCGGGCCGGGGGAGGGACAGACCGACCCCCCGCCCGGGGCCGGCAGCACTGCCGGAACAGCCGGTGGGGAGAGTTGTTCATAGACCGCGCCCGCCGAGCCCAGCGTCATCCCTCTCAGGGGCGCCACAAGTGCCCCGGCGCAGCCCAGGGCAGTGGGCACGGGCTCTGGCCGCGGAGAGAGGGAGGTGGGGAAACCAGCAGCATAGAGCCTGCAGGGTAGCACAGCACCTTCCGCTCTCTCTCCCCGCCGACCGCTCCCAGCAGCTTTCGTACCTGGACACTGCTGGTGAGCGCTGCCCCGCAGCACCCTAGGAGTAGGGTGGCGGCGGCGCGGACCCAGCTGGCGCCGGACTCCGTGGCCGCCATTTTACCCTGACTCTTCCGCCAGGGTCCGGCCGCCGCAGCTGCCGGAAGGGGAGAAGCGAGTTCTGCGCATGCTCGGCTGTGGCTCCGCGCCCTGTAGTTTCCGTGTGGAGGCTGGCGCGGTGGCTGCCCGGTGGCGGCCCGGCGGTCGGGAGGATCGTGTGCCTGCTCTGAGGCGCGCCACGCGCGCAGTCACATACCAGAGCTCCCTCGGCCTTGCCAGCCTGCTTAGAATTCGTTTCTTACGGAGCTGAGGCAGGGATGGCAGCAGATCTCACCACCGCCTTCAGCATACGTGTTCATTCTGGCTGTGTCATGAGGTGTTGCAGCCCTACCCAGACCTTGTTCATCCCTTGGACAGGCCTGGCTGACAAGTTAAAGCACTCTGGCCTTTGGCTTGGGAGGCTCCTGGGGGTGTAACAACAGACGAACCTCGCAGCTGCCTAGGAAGAACATGCTGGAATCGCTGGACTTTGTTGACGCTGGCACGCCAAGCTGAGGATGACCTGAGGCCTTGGGCTGCAGGGCAAAAGCTGCCTTAGAGAGCAAAGAGGAGAGCTGGGGAGAACGACCACCTTTGGTGGAGAAGAGAGGGGGATCTGGAATTGAGTCTTCTGTCAAAGTGCCCTGTTAAAGGCTTGCCTTTGGCACATACATCCCTCTGAGCTGATGAATCATCAGGTTTTTATTTCAATGTATCAAACCACCTGGTCTTGATTCTTTCATTTCCACTAACTCATCTTGTCACCACCTTTGTTCAATTGCCTGATGGCTTCCATTAGTGAAGATTCAGAACCTGCCATGAACCATGGAAGCTATTTCCTGCTCTGTGTACTTGTCATCAGTAATGACTTTCTCAGACAGCAGCATATTTCCATGTATTGATGTTGGAATTTCAACAACATTGCATTTGCTGTTTGGAAGCATCGCTGGTTTCCTCAATAAAAATAATGACATGTAATTAGATAGCCTTTTCTTTTTGTGCCTAAGGCTGACAAACTCCCTATCAAAAACTATAGCCACCAACTCATGTTGTGCTCACGTCTCCCAGGTGAACCTTTTATGAAACATCTGAGAAGCGCTATGTGTGTCTGTCCCTTGGTGCCTGCTTGTAAGTTCCACTGTTTAGCTTCTTGCTCTAAAAAACTAACTGAATTTAAGACTAGGGACAAGCTTAAGCTTTTTCCTTGCCCTTTCAAATGCTTAGGCCTCTGATCATTCTGAGATGTGTTCAAGATGCGTCAGTAATACTAAAGGATAGGCAGCTATCTTTCAGAGCATGTACTCATGCAGTCTTATAAACTGGTGAGTTGATTTCATGCGCTTTGACTTGGATAGCGTCTTGTTACCTTTCAGCTCCCATGTGGAGTTGAATAGATAAAATGTGACAGAAAGTCTTAACCTTTGACTGAACTTCTTTCTGTTAAGCTCAGTTCTTTGCTCATTGCATTTACTACAAATATTCATCATCCTTTGGTATCATGCATTCTGGTCAACAGCTTTTCCAATAGAAAAATGCCATCAGCTGTATCCTGATGATACGTCTTTGAATCAGGCATAAATCCTGATGTCTGTACTGAATGAAAAGTTCGGTTAAATGTTACCAAAAGGTAACTTCAGCTTACCAAGAAGCATTCCTGACGTGAGAAGTACTGAACATATTTTCTGCAAATAAAAGTTGGAAACATCTGTTTCACATAAAAACTGCCAAACCTTGTGAAATTCTCTGGAATACTTGACTTTCAGTTTGAATGACATTCTTTTCAGGCCATTGTGTATGATTTGCTACATAAGAAAAAAAGAAATGGAAAAAAACCCACCAAAATTTTTGTCAAGTAGCATTGGAATAGTGTAAACATAGATTATCATTTATGGGCCCTACAAGCAAACATCCAGTATTTGTGCTGAGTAATTAAGAACTGTAGCAAATTTTCCTTACATGAAAGATCACCTGTATGGGATGAGACATTTGAAATCCTAGGTTTCACCAAAGGTCAGAATAGTTTAAGCATACGTGTCCAGTTAGTGTTGCTGCTGTTTCTCATGGGTTGGTTCTGCAATCTACAGGAAGGTTTGGCTTGCTCTTGATGTAAAAGCGGAGCTGCAAACTCATCAGTCTTGTGTCACATGCTGTCTGCTGCAGTGTGAGAGCAATGTTTGGATCAACTACAGTCACACTGCAGGTGTTACTTTTAGAGTGTAGGTGTTCGGGTCATATTGTTGCCTTTCCATCCCAGGGCAGATGCAGCACTGAGTTAGGGCAAACTCAGTTTCACAGACTCATTGGGATCTTACAAAAGAATGGCCATTATTCCCTCTATTTTACGTGATGCGTAATACAGTGTATGGTTCACATTTTTAAATCTGTCTCTGGTTTGCCTTCTGGATTCCTGTAGCTTGGTTGTGTGTATTTTGTAATGGATCTACTTCTGCCTTTTATTTCTTTGCAGTCTCAGTCTTTCATAGGCTTTAGTATTCATCAGACACACAAGTCTGCCAGTGCTTCAGGCATTATTCCTGGAGGTAGTATCATGTCTTCTTTTTTTTCCCCAGCAAGATTGTACCAAAAGCTTTGCCTTCCTTTTTTTCATCTTTATTCCCTTAGGCAGCTCTCAGCACAGACTTGGTGTTTGCTCCCATGCCTGTACTGGGCTTTTTTCCCTAGAAATTAAGCCCTATACCGTATGCTTCTGGTTCTTCGTTCTGCTTTGTTTTCATGCTAATCACAGCATTTTTCATGCTCCGAGTCTCTTTAGCTTGACCTTTGCCACAATGTTTCTTGTACCTCATGCTGAGTAATTAGAAGGGACACCAAGTGTGTATCCCAAAATGATCTGTGATTAAAACAACCATTTAAAAAGCTGCTGTAACTGCAGCTGTTATTCACATTGATGCACATCTTGGTGCCCTTCCAGATTCTTTCCTTCTCCAGCAGGTTGCTCAGGCCCTAATCCTCTAATCCATACTCTCTAGAAATTGCCCCCTAAGAGCCATCTGTCAGCTTGCTCCTGTCCAGCATGGAACAAACAATCCTTGGCTTCCTCTGAGGAGAGGCAGCAATCCCAAGGGTAACTCTGTAAACTCCTAAAACAGGGATTGTCCCAACTAGAGTTTACCTGCCACATTTTGACCACAAACTTTTTTCTTCTGTGCCAACAATACCAATTAAATATCTTTAATGTTGTTGGTATTAACAACAATGTATTGATTATATTACCTGTAGGTATCATAGTGTAGCCCTTTTTCTGTAGCCTTCATCCTTGTTCTTTGTTTTTTTTCCTATTTTTATGAGACTTGCATGTACTACCTGATAATCTTCTACTGTAGAAGATAAAGAAATGTATCTTTGGGTCTATTTATTATGCTTCCAAAAGAAAAATGAAAAGGCACTCTTGCAATGAAGTAAGTCAACAAGACTGATTCCTAAGGAATCATCAGTAATAGCTCAGCTGTATTATCTCACTAAAAAAATGCAGATTTATTACTTTCTTCATTTTGACTGTCAATACAATAGATTAAAAAAATCGTACTGACCAGACAAGTCTACTACAGTTTGATATCTGAGCTGATAAAATGGCTATCTTCAAATATGGAACCTGAATGAAACAACAGTAATCAAATTAATGATAGAACTCTACTCATTTGGTTTTTTTTTTCCCATTTCTGTAACTGGAAGACTGGCTTGACTACAGAATGTTTGTACTTTGAAGATTTACAATAGCAAAGAATACTGATGAAAAATATGCAAAAATAATATGGTGAGAGTAACAGACACGGAACTTCCAAAGAAAAATAACTTGAAAGAAGTCTTGCTTGTAATACTGTCGAGCTGAAACAATTGTAATGAATTGTGTTTCTCAATAGATTCTTTTTTTAACACTGGCTAAACACATTAGAACCTACACTTCTTTTCATCCATAGATTACACTGCTTACCTCTGCATCGGAATCATAAAGTGGACAATATTTTATACTGTTATTTACAAAGTGAGTCTACAGACATTTTTTACAGTGTCTTTTGAGGTCAGAATAGAACACAGGCAAAAACCTTGCAACTGACAATGAAATTCAGTTGACATTTGTTCTTAATGAATTAACCTTTTACCTTGTCATTAGTTCTATTCTGTTGTTAATGATACAAATACCAGGAGGTGTGGAGGTTCCATAATGTTGAATTGTGTAAAAATCCAGTATTTCGTCTTCAGAAGACGCGAGGTTATGAGCCACTGCAACAGCTTATCCTTTTGGTAAAAATAAATAAAATATGAGAAAACAAAACATCAAAAAACAGTGGCAGCTTGTTTACATAGTTTGTTGAATGCAATGGCAGTCATGAAATATGAATGCACATCACATTTGGTCTCAGTGCATCAATATTTTTCTCAATAGAAAGCAATGCTGAAAACTTTTGTCAAAACATTCTCATTTCTTAAAATAACAAAATATGTGAATAATATAGCAGTAAAGAAACACTGTCTTTTTTAATTACCGTCTCCATTGTATTTTTCCATTAATATTGCAAAAGGGCTTATTCTCAAATGGAAAATTAATGGGTTTCTTAATTAGGAACAAGGTAGGAATCCTAATTAAATTGCTCTAAATAAAGTGAAATATATAAGCATAATTTCAAGCAGTGGATATAACATATCATGGCTTAGAATCATTAAGAAATCATCATTTTGATTCCAGTACTCGTTCTGACATCTCTGTGATAAATCTGTCACGTGTCCAAACACACCAAGTATTTGAATGCCTCAGGAAGGTGTTCTCTGTAGTGACTGAGCTGGAGGAGTCCCAGCTCTGCTGGTTAAACTAACTCAGGTAAAGGGCCGTGTTGCAGACGGATTCATTTTAGCTCTCAAACCATTACTTAAAGTTACTGTGTGTATTCTTAGACTACTCTACAGCCTGCAATATACATATACCAAGTAATTTTCTTCATTGGCAGGCAAGAGATTTTACTCCATTGAGGACTACTCAGCAACTATATGAGAAAACAAACAAAAGTTTTGAAAATTAAGGGTTGAATACACATCAGCTTTACCTGAAAAAAAATACTCAATTTCATGAAATT